TCCAGAACGCGTTGTTTTAGGTTTTTCTATCGACGTTGACGAAGTATCAAGTTGTGTGTCGGTTGTCGTGTAGGGTACTACGAGTGTAGTAGCTGTGTCGTTTGCTTGCACCGAAGGAAAATCGACGTAGCTAGGGTTTCCTTCTAGGTACGCAGCTTTGAGTCGATCGATACTGATGCTATCTTTCGTACCGTTCTTATCAACTACATAGTACTTAGGTTCGCGTTGAAGAACTTTGAAGGGTCCTTCGTATGCTGATTCGAGGGGTCGTCGATGTGAGTCTCGACGAACGAAGACGTGTGTACTATGTCGTAGTTCGGGTTGAACGAAAACATCAGTTGATTGAGGTCGAGTGTGAGCAGGTTTAACTGAACGCATAGCGTTTGTAAGCCTACTCGTGTAAGAGTTTAGATCCATGTTCAATGAAGAAGCTGAAGGATCCACGAATTCTCCTGGGAGTCGGAGTGTCGTTCCGTAAACGAGTTGAGATGCCGTGTATCCAATGTCAGCTTTCACTGCATTGCGGATACCTAGCAAGACGAGTGGAAGAGCGTCTGTCCACTGTGAAACGTTTGAAGCTGATAATGAGGCTTTTAGTTGTCGATGAAAACGTTCTACCAACCCGTTTGCTTGTGGGTGGTAGGCGGTCGTTCGGAAGCGCGTGATTCCTAAAAGTGTGGTCAGACAACGGAACAGTCCAGATTCGAACTGGCGTCCGCGGTCTGTAGTGATGGTTGAAGGGCAGCCGAAATTTGCTACCCATCGTTCGACGAAAGTGCGAGCCACTGTTTCAGCAGTAATGTCCTTAATCGGTACTGCTTCTGGCCATCGAGTAAAACGGTCTACGCATGTTAGGAGATATGAGTATCCGTTCGAGTCGGGTAAGGGTCCTACCAAATCTAGATGGACGTGGTCGAAACGAGCGTCAGGGGTTTTGAAAGAACCTAAGGGACATTTGTTGTGTCTGATTACCTTAGATTTCTGACAGCTTACACAGGAGCGTGACCACTCCCTCACGTCTTTATTCATGCCAGGCCAACAAAAGCGTTCGGCTATAAGTTCGATTGTTGCACGAGCACCTGGATGAGAAAGATTGTGCAACGTACTGAAGACGTTGCGGCGATAGTGTTTTGGTACAATTGGACGATCCCTACCTGTAGATGTGTCACAGAGTAAGGTTTCCTTACCTGTTCCCATCTGCCTAATACTTAGTTTAAGAGTTGTCGAGGATAACTCATGCTGAAGATCAATGTCTTCTTTTTGAAGCTGAGCGAGTTTAAGAAGGTCGATTCCTTGGAAACTGTTCAAGGAGCTAATTCGAGACAAGGCGTCTGCGACTACATTGTTAGCTCCAGAAATGTGTTGTATGTCTGAAGTAAACTGCGAAATGTAGTCGAGTTGTCGAGACTCTCGCGGTGAGTACTTGTCTGAAGATGAACCTAAAGAGAAGGTAAGAGGTTTGTGATCGGTAAAGAGCGTGAATTCTCTTCCTTCGATGGAATGTTGAAAATGCCGTACAGCACAATACATAGCTAGGAGTTCCCTACCGAACGTGCTGTACCTAGATTCAGCGTCTAGCAACCGTCTCGAGAAAAATCCTAAAGGTTGCCACGAGTTGTTAACCCATTGTTGTAAGACTGCTCCGATTGCTGAGTCGGATGCGTCTACGGCGATACTAATGGGCGCTTGACTGTCCTGATGAGCAAGCAAGGTTGCTTTAGCGATGTGTTCCTTAACTGTGGAAAATGCTTTACGGGCTGTGTCGTCTAAACTAATTGATTTCGCATTTCCACGAAGCTGATCGGTCAACGGTTTCATTAGGGATGCGCATTTAGGTATGAACCGTCTATAGAAACTTACAAGAACGTTAAAAGTTCGTAAGTGTTTGATCGTGGTCGGTTCTGGGTAATCCAGAATGGCCGCCACTTTGCTCCTAAGGGGTCGGATGCCTTGGGCATCAATGGTGTGTCCTAAGAAGTCTAAGCAGTTAGTTCCGATTTGGCATTTCTGAATGTTGACAGTAATGCCATGCCGTTGAAGTCGATCGAAAACAATGTCCAGATGCTTGAGATGCGATTCTCTGTCCGGACTTGCTATTAGACAGTCATCAACATACGCATGTACGAAGTTGAGACCTCGGAAGACGTCATCTATAAACCTTTGGAAGGTTTGAGCCGCGTTTCTTAAACCAAAGGGCATTCGTAGAAATTCGTAAAGACCGAAGGGAGTGATGATGGCGGTTTTAGGAATGTCGTCAGGTGCCATCGGGATTTGGTTATAAGCTTTAACCAAGTCGATTTTCGAAAAGACAGTTGTACCCTTCAAGGTAGCTGTCAAATCGTGAATATGAGGCAGCGGGTAACGATCGGGAATGGTTTTAGCATTCAGACGCCGATAATCACCAGTTGGCCGCCAATCATTGCTGTCCTTTTTAGGGACCATGTGCAATGGGGATGCCCATGGACTATTCGATGGTCGAATTATTCCTAGGTCCATCATGTGGTTGAATTCGTTTTTAGCTAACCTAAGTTTTTCGGGAGCGAGTCTTCGGGCTTTCGAAAATACAGGTGGTCCTGTAGTCGAGATGTGATGTGTAACATTGCTGGTTACACAAGGTAATTTCGATTGCGATTGGTATATCCCGGGGTATTTGTCGAGTACTGCTTGGTACAAGGGGTCTATGGCGTGCTTAATCGTGACTGGGGATAACCTGCAACCAGAACAAGGAGTTACGCAAACGGACAACTTAGTGTTTCCGTCTATTAACCTTCGTGCGCGTGTGTCGATGAGTAGATTGTGGTGTTGTAACAGGTCAATACCAATGATTGGCATAGAGACATCTGCAACCACGAAAATCCAGTGTATGGGTTTACGTAAACCCACGTTAAGGTAGACGTACCTTTTACCGTAAGTAGCGATCGGCTTTCCGTTTGCCGCCTGTAAACTTAAAACAGACTCGCGAAGTCTGTCGTCGAGATTTGCTGGAAGAACGCTAACTTCTGCGCCAGTGTCGACGAGGTAGCGAACTTTCGTAGTCACATCCGTGACATATAAGAGGCGGCAGTGTTCGCCGGCTACGGTTGCCGTTAACGCGTGCCGGCTGGGAAGTTTCCCGAACTGTTTTTCGTGTCACTCGATTTTGGGGTCGGATAATTACAAGGTTTCCTGCAGTTTCTGGAAAACTTACCGTACTGGTTATGATACCAGCACCAGTCGGGATTGTCTGTCTCTCGTGGTCGAGAGCCAGATCGCTTACGTGAGGCGCTTCTACGCGGGGTTTTTGACCGACTACGGTCATTGCGAACTCTAAGATATCGTGTAAGCGTGTGACATAGTTCGGCCATGTCAGTCGAGGTCGATTGGGGTTTTTCTTTGACGGAAAAAACCTCGGCCTTAGAAGATCTAGTGATTTCCAAGATTCGATCGGCAGATGCAGCTAGTTCATCTATGGCATTGTTTTGAAATGAAACAAGCACTGCCTGCACCTGTTGAGGGAGTTTAGACAAGAAAAGTTGTCTAAATAGGCCATCATCGAAAGTTCGTTGGCCGATGACTTCTCTCATTCTAAGCAACATGTCCGTCGCAGAACCATGTTGCAAGTCGATATTGTTAAGGAGTTGGTCTAACCGTTGTCGATCAGTTAGGTCTCCTCGTTTTAAAATCGATAGCTTAAGCGATTCGTAAGGTTCGGAAACATCACTAGTAAACATACTAGGTGTTACGTACCTGTTAAACTCGCGCGGTAACGCCTTAACTACCGCGAGGAAACGTGTGCGCGAGTCCGTGATTCCGTGCATGCTAAAATCGGCTTCTGCATAGCAGAACCAGGACTCGATATTGTCGGGCCAAAATGGCGTTAACTGAATCGAAATAGGGGGAATAGACTTGAACTTAAGAACCTTAGGAGAGTGTTCCGTCATAGTAATATAGATATCGAAAAATGTCTAAGTAAAATATATCCGAGAAAAAAAGGTATATCACAATATATAAAATTCAAATAAAGAATAACAATAAATAATAATGTTCCAAAATGGAACAGACTCACAGTATATTGACTTGGTGTACCAGATCACGTCGGGTTCACCAATGATGATGCAACGGATATTCTAGTTTTACAACTAGCTACCAGTAGCACCCCCTATATTTGATCGTTCCCAGTCAGATAGAAAATCAGAAGTCAAACGAGAAGAGGCAGGAAAGATATATTTGATTCGTTACCAATATATCGAGGACCTTTTCTATGAGCTGGCTAATGAAACGTAGGAGCTGTGTCCCACACAGTATTGAAACGTGATCTGGTGCGGATGCATGACCGAAAGCCTTCAACTAAACAAGTCCACTTAAACAACGTGGTCAGCATCCAATGTCGAACACTTAATGAGCTATTGATTTTGGGGAATTATTTACAGCTACAACCCCATATTAAACAATTTCTTTATGTTGATACCTTTATTCAAGACGAGTTCAATTCATGCTTCTATCTCTTAACTCCACCTGTAGCTCCTCTGGGGGTTGCTGCCGGTCCCAAGCCCGGGTAAAGGAGGAGGGTTGGGCATGGGGTTAGCGACCCCATCCCGTAGAAAATCAACTCGCTAAAAAAACGCTAACCAGAAAAAAATCTCTTAACGAGTCCTAAGTAGCTTTATGAATTTCCCAATAGTTCTCACGACATTTATGGACAAAGACTCAGAGGGACAAATAAATGACTTGGAGATAATGAATATATTTTATCCAGACCAACAGCGGCAATATGTACTGCAGTTTGTAGCTCATTTAAAAATAACTTGGTTTAATAAAAGTTTTAACCCGTAAAAGAACAGCATGCTGGATGACATGTGTTGATCTCCTTTGATCTAACTTTAGAATGTGTCAACAGATGTAGTCTTGATCACGTGTTGAAAATCGGCGTTCGTTTTGAAACTCTATCGTCAGCTGGCAACTGATTTGTTCTGGGATTGTAAGATTTTTCGAGGCTCACTTGTATACGAGGACAATGAAAGCGTGTCAAATGCAAAGTTGTGGTTAAGTAATTCAGGAATTCCTAATCCCTTTCACAATTTAAAGCGCGCTATTTAAGAAGGACAGTGGTATTTTTCCTCGTTGAGTAAATTCTATTGTTTTGATCGTTATTAACGTATCAAGACTACTGTTTTTATACTTTGATTGAATTTCTTTCAGTTAAAGTATTCTATTAGAGTATCATTTCTGGTATCCTAAATAGTTTTATCGTCGGTACTCCGGAGTACCTTTGTTTTTCTATTGTGTCTGTTAGTACTTAGGTCCTAACTACTTATAGTTTTTTTATCTACTTGTAGCCAACACTCACTTTCGCATCCTAAAATGACTGGAAGATGCAACAAAAGCATTTGCCACCGCCCAGGATGTCGATATCCTGTTGATAGCGGCACGCAGTGCGATGAGTGCAAAGGTTGGTACCACGATGTTTGCACGAATCTAACACCTGCAGCTTTCAAGCGGTTTAGTAAAAATGGGTGCGTATGGCTATGTCAACAGTGCTGTTTGGATGCAAATAGTCTGTCAACCGAGGCCATCTCAATAGTAAATGCCGCAAAAAAGTGTCTCGGCAAGCGCGGTCGGGATACATCAGTCAGAACTCAATCTGTCGACACGCAGATTAACACAAGACAGACCCAAGCGAGTCCAAAAACTGCCGACCCACACTCTACTAAGGAGGAAGAACATCCTCCAAAGAGGACTGTTACAACCAGAAACTCGCGCAAAAAAGTCTCTTCTGTCCCTCGTATCAAAAATGGTACCCAGAAGGGAACTTCCGGAAGCCGAAACCGCAAGGCTCGATCGGTTTCCAGCGCGAAAGATGACCCAATCTCTCAAGTCGTCCTGAACCTACCGGAATCCCACAGTACGCCTGACGCAACTGTGGTTACCACTCCAAAGAACGTTGGCGATTGGGTACGGGTCGTAAGAAAAAAAAAACGCCAAAATGACGTAAAAGGAAATCATACCCCCACCAAAAGGGTCGACAAGCCGAGGTCTGATCACAGCGACAGATCAGTCATTCTCCATAGAGTCAAGGAGAGTGACAGCTTAGAACCGAAAGCTCGTTTTGAGCATGACATTGTGTTGATAAAACAACTACTCAAGCAAGTTATGCCCCAAAACATCTCCGGAGTCACCTTGCTAAAGGTGTATAGACTAGGAAATCTAGCACATCTGAAACCAAATCTGTCTAGACTACTCAAAGTCGTTTTCAAATCCCCAAACGAACGCGACTTAATCTTAGAAAACGGACACAAATTAAAGGGTCCAGGAGTTTTTCTCCGTAAGGACTTGCCGTTGGCGGACCGTGTTAAAAGACGGGAAGCCGAAAAGGAACTACAGCTCAGATTAGACGCTGGCGAAAAAGACCTGAAAATTGTAAATTTTCGGGTTGTGAGGCTTCGGCAGAGGATGATGCCGAAGCCACTCTGGGTGAAGCACGAGGCCACCTGAATAGGCTTCGGATCTGTTATACCAACGCCCGGAGCTTACTAAATAAGCTACCGAAACTAGGTGTACAGATTGACTCAACTAGGCCAGACATAATTGCAGTCACAGAAACATGGCTGACGCCGTCTATAGATAGTAGGGAACTTGATTTCGAGGGTTTTACATTAGTAAGGGCCGATAGAACGCAAACGCGTAAAGGAGGGGGAGTATCTCTATTCATTAGGAATGCTATTCCATTCACCATTATCGACAGTGTATCCCATGAGAGTGGGACGTATGAATTAGTTTGCTGCCGCCTGAAATGCAGGGGACAAGAGTTGCTACTTAGTTTGGTCTATCACAGTCCAAGCTGTGAGGCAAACGAGGTCCTGCTAAGCAGTCTCAGCACTTTGTCACGAAGTGATCGATGTCTAATCCTAAGGGACTTTAATGCACCCACGTTGGACTGGGGAAATCTGTGGACTGAATCATCAGCAAATTCCTTCGAACAGGAACTAGTTGATGCGGTAATCACATGTGCCCTAGTGCAACACGTGAAGGAAGCAACTAGGTACGACCCGGGTTCTGCATCATCCTTACTAGATCTTATATTGACTCATTATGAGGATGATGTTGCAAACCTGGATTACATGCCACCCCTAGGCAAAAGTGATCATTCAGTTTTAACCTTTGACTTCCATATAACGAGTACGCTTCAGCTCAATCCAGACCTAACGTCTGGAAAGCAAACATACCAGACATCATGAAATCAGCATCATTTGTAGATTGGAAAATAGACCCAGAGTCATCAATCGAAACGGCTTAAGATGTATTCCGGAATTTATACTTTAAAGTTACCGCCCCCCACATCCTTTGGACTACACCTAAGAGACCGAGAAACTCCCCACCGTGGTTCAGTAGGGAGGTTCGCATCCTTCTCCGTAAAAGAAGGAAAATGTGGGACAGATTTAGGTTACTGGGGACTGACGAGACAAAATCTCAGTATCAAAAGGCTCGAAATACCTGTGCCTCAACCCTCCGTAAGGCCAGAAAGCTGTACGAAGAGAAAATCGTTAGGGAATCCATAGAATGCCCTAAACGCTTGTATTCGTATATAAACCAAAGGACAAAAAGAAGAAGAAATGTTCCTTCACTATGGGGAGACAGTACTGCCACATCACTAGTGGAGGACGTTTTTGGCAAAGCTCAAGTATTCTCTAAATACTTAGGCGATGTATACACCATAGAAACACCCTTCTCACCAGTCCATGAAAATCCCCTCACACAAGCACTGGACAGCGTAACCATTAAAGAACTCGATGTCTTTGGTCTGCTAGTTAAGCTTGACATAGGTAAATCCACTGGACCCGATGAACTGCATCCTAGGTTACTAAAGGAATTAGCTAACTTTGTTGCGAACCCTTTAAGTGTATGTTTTAATCTATCCGTAACCCAGGGTCGTCTACCAAAAGACTGGAAGAACGCCATAGTAAGTCCAGTCTTCAAAACAGGTACAAAACATAAGCCTGAGAATTACCGACCAATTAGCCTAACTTGTGTGGTTGTTAAAATCTTAGAAAAGATTATTCGGAAGGAACTGTTAAAGTATCTCGATGAAAACCGGATCCTCTCCGAAAAGCAGCATGGTTTTAGAACAGGTTACTCTTGTCTCACAAACTTATTAGTCGCTCGTGAAAGCTGGTGCGCTCTTAAGGACCAAAAGTTACCTATAGACGTAGCTTACATCGATTTCAGCAAAGCTTTCGACAAAGTTCCGCATAACCGGCTGTTATATAAGCTAAGGAATGTCGGGATTGGAGGCAATCTATTGATGTGGGTAAAAGACTTCCTAGTTGGGCGTCAACAAAGAGTAAGGGTGAACTCCAAGTTGTCTAGCTGGGAAACTGTGCTTAGTGGAGTCCCCCAGGGTACAGTTTTGGGGCCAGTGTTACTCCTCCTGTACGTAAATGATCTCCCTTGTCTACTATCGTCATCGGTCTTACTCTATGCTGATGATGTCAAGATATGGAGAGCGATACAAAGCAAGGGCGATAGCTTAGAACTTCAAAATGACCTGGAGAGATTATCTGAATGGTCCCAAACCTAGCAATTGCCGATGAACACTTCCAAGTGTATTGTGATGCATATTGGCCACCAGGGTACAGATACATACACGATGAATAACACTGAGTTACCTATGTTCAGGCACACAATGACTTAGGCGTCATCGTCAGTCAAGACTTAAGGACTACTGCACGCTGCCGTGCAATAGCCGCCAAAGGTTTTAGGACTTTATGGTCCATACGCAGGGCTTTTAGGCATCTTGACGCTAAAACGTTTCTGACTTTGTATACAGTGTTCGTACGCCCTAAACTTGAGTACTGTATACAAGCAGCTAGCCCCTGCCTAAAAAAAGACAGTGAACTCTTGGAAAGGGTTCTGAGAACAGCAACTAGGCTGATTCCCGGAATAGCGAAGCTCCCGTATGGTACTAGACTGACCAAGCTAAACCTATTCCCGCTGTCATATAGAAGAATCAGAGGCGACTTGATTACAGTTTTCAAATTGCTTAATGACAAATTTGCACCTGATGTGCCCTCATTTTTCTTGTCTTCCAAAACAGAAAATCTACGAGGACACTCCAAAAAAGTTCACAAGCCCCGAACGAATTACTTGTCAGCTGACTACCGACTTTCCCATCGAACGATCAACGACTGGAATTCATTATCTCAGCACGTGATTGAGACTCCATCCGTCGACTCCTTCAAAAGAAAGTTGGATCAGCTGAGAGACCATCATTGCCAGGACTAACACAGGCCATCAAGCCTCCTGTCCTTTCCAAACTGAAACTGAAATGACAATGTAATAGGTTTATTATAGACTGACTTTCGTCATACGGCAGTTTTGTGATTTAGGGATCAACTTAGTTACGCTCCCCTAAAATTTTTCCAACAACTCATCATTTTTTTTATAAGCTTCATTTCGAATTCGAGAGAAAGAAACAAATTTATGTTCCAGATCAAACTGATTCGGAAACAACAATCGTCTCGTGTTATTATGCTTTAGGGTAGCAGTAGCGAATTCGTTTTTGAAATCAAATGCTTTTGGACAAAACTATCATAATTTTCTCACATCCATGTTGTTTATGGTATTCCAATTCTAGTTCCCCACAAGAACATTCGGGCTAAGTTGATTCACTAGTTAAATTTGATCTAAAGTAGCACTTATGGAATCAAGGAAACAGTAATTGACTTGCACATCCAATCGTATCCTAATCAGAAATACTGAACATCTCAGAGTTTTTAAATTTGACATTTCATTCTCCCACTAAAGCCATTGCTGAGTATAAAAGAGAATAAGCAAAATCCTGGCTAGCGAGTTAATTGAACTGTTTAGAAAAATGTAGATATTTGGAAATACGGATCCCCGTTGTACGTAAAATGCAGTAAACCTTGGAAGCATATTGGCAAGATTTGATCGGTTTTTGTTCTAATTATCCACTTTATCATGTGCTCAACTCAGTCAGTCAGTCACAACGTAGAACTTCGTACGTACGTACATCAGTTCGAGTTGCCATACCACATTAGCACAGAGATGCAGTTGTCGATTCAAATCCCATTGTGGTAGAAGTAGTAGGAGTATAATCAGAAATCCAAAAGATTAGGGTTTGAAGAAATTATTGAAGGAGTATAGTACAGTGAAATAAATTTGGAAAGAGAAAAAGATAAAGACACGAGGAATTCAGAAGATTAGAATTTGGTAGAACACAAAGAATGGATGCACCTTCGCCATTGCAAACGATTTTGAGCCATGTCATTCAAGGTCTCTAACCATCGGTTGCTGTCATCTCGCGAATCCCAACCAGGTAGTCTACACCTACCAACATGACCCAGTCCACTTGTCAGTGACTTCATGGATTTGTGCCACGTTTTGGTCTGGCCACCCCTAGCTTTCTTCCAACCTACTCCTACACCATGAAACATTGCACGTCGGGGCAGTCGGTGGTCGGGCATACGTAACACATGTCCCAGCCATCTCAACTGATGAAGTTTCACTACTTCATCAATCGATTTGCCATCCCTACCTAGTACTCGTTTCCTAACAACTGCATTACTTACTCGATGATCCCAGGATATACGAGCAATGCTTCGAAGACACCTATGATCGAACACTAGTAGCCTACGAATATCCTCTACTCTTACCGGCCATGTTTCACTGCCATAGAGTAGGACGGAGCGAACTGCTGCACAGTAAACCCGTCCTTTGGTTGCTAGACGGATATCTCGCCTACGCCATAAATGACGCAAGTTGGCGGAAGCTAAACGAGCCTTCTGTATCCGTGCTGAGATTTCGTCACATACCAGACCACAAGGGCTGATGAGACTCCCAAGATAAGTGAAGTGGTCTACACGCTCAACTACTTCACTCCCTATCATTAGTTCAGGTGTCGATGCAACCCAATCCTGAAGTAACATTTTGCACTTCGAGGGAGAGAATCGCATCCCGAACATGCCTGCATAGTTGCTTATAGTGGTCAGAAGACTCTGCATTTTGTCAGCGTCTTCACCGAGTAAAACTATGTCGTCGGCGTATTCTAAGTCAACAAGTGAACCTCCTGGTGAAAGTTCAACTCCTGGAGGTTTAGCTGATGAAAGTGCTATCTCTAAAAGTATGTCAATGACAAAGTTAAACAAGAATGGGGAGAGTGGACAGCCCTGACGAACGCCACTTGTGGTAGTCAGTTCTGATGACAGTTCGCCATAGGCTCTAACTCGACCAGTTGTGCTCGAGTAGAGAGCCTTTATGAGGTTAATGTATTTCTTTGGTACTCCTTTCAGTGACAAACATTGCCATAGAACCTCACGATCAACAGAGTCAAATGCAGCCTTAAGGTCAAGCAATACTACTATTGTTGGACGTCTGAATTTGTGTCTATGTTCTAGAACCTGACGTAGGGTGAATATATGGTCTATTCAACCACGTCCAGGTCGAAAACCAGACTGGTTTTCTCTAGTCTGCTCGTCACGACCTTTGGTTAGGCGACCTAGTATTATTGAAGCTAATATTTTAGAAACTATATTAGTCAAACTGATCCCTCTGTGATTGTCACAGGAGGACTTTTGTCCTTTCTTATAGACTGGCACAATCAGTGATTGGGACCAGTCAGATGGAATTACGTCCAGATCCCAGATTCTACCTAAGACCTCACTCATCGTCTGAGCTGCAGTCAGTGGGAGAGTAGGCAGAGACGACGAAGAGGCAACGACGAGTTTCCCTATCTTTCCGGGTCCTTACTGATCCGTTTAGTCGGACAGCGCATAGACGACTGTCTACTGGGATCCAGTCTAAAAGAGCTAGTTCTGCCCTAGGACTTAATGCTATACCTACTCCAGCGAGGCCACGGGAAGCAGCGTCAGGGCTTCCAGATACACGGAGCGTGTATCGAGATGAAACTTTATTTTGATTAGGTGCGGTCAAATGAATGACACTACTCGGATCTTGTATGCGCGTTTCGGAGACGCAGCACACATCGATTGTGTAAGATTCTAGAGTCCTAGCTAAGGAAGCCTGTTGTCCTATTTGGCACAATGTTCGGACATTAAAAGTTCCTATATGTAGTTTAGAGCGTGGTTTCAGGAGACCAGGAATAACGTTCTGTGTACTCGAATCGTTTGCCCTAGCGGTGCGACGTGATAAAAGGACGTGGGAAGGGTTAGTCGAGGAGATAACAGAGTTATTAGGTGTAGGAAGGATTTGAAAGCGACCAACTTGGTCTTGTGTGCAGTTAAGGGTATGAGGGCTAGTATCACTTCCCGGCTGCCCACACCGTGGAAGGGTATTTCTTGAGGGACCTGAAAAAGAAGTTGGATTAGTGTTGGTCTTAACGACCTGGGAGCGTGACCGCAGTGCCCAAGGGACAACTGCTTGAGGCCGGTCACGCACGGCCTTTTTGTGGGGGATTTTTGACGTGTTAGCTCCGTTCTTCAAAAGTCCTTACCGCCGGAGACGGAAATCCGTGGGATAAGGCGAGGTGTGCATTTTTAGGGTCGACCTTTTCTAACCCCACCCCTCCTTGTGGGAAGGCAGCATCGCTGTCATGCTGGTTGTCTGAAGGAAACACCCTACTGCTTTCACACCTCTGTACAGTCAGCAGTACGACTTCGCCTTCGGACCTTGGGTTTGCTGCTTTTAGTCTCACCGCTCTTCAACCGACCTGTCTGGCATGGTAGGACCTTGAGGAACGATTGTTCCAGCCAGCATAGCTCGATTGGATCATCACGATAGGCAAGCCCGACCACCACGTCAAGGTAGCAGCAACGGTCGGTCAACTCCCTTCAACTGAGTGGAAAATACTACTTTCTGTATATCCGTCGTTGTGCTGGATGTTAAGACTGCAATAAAAGGAAACTAAAATGGGGATTTCGGTCTTATAACTGAGAATCTGAGTGACCGCGCTATGAGTTTACTTCGAAACTGTTCGAAAACCGATTTGTTTCTGTTATTCTATCCCTGAATCCTATACATGCCATTGTTGCTAGCTTCACTTACTAAAACGTATGAAAATGTAGTAAAGCTATAACGTGGACTTTCAAAATAAACATTTATATTCCAGAAGCATTCGGTTTTCTCTCTAAATCAGGTCCTAGATATTGTCAGACTGGACGGTTTGAGACTTGACATTACGTCTGTTGAAAATATGTTTAATTTAATTCCACAAAAGGCACATTTGGTAACCAAAAATATTCCACCGACCACAAAATGACATTATTGTGAAGAAATAAAAAAAAACCCACCTGAACTAGAGGAATAGGAACTTAAAAAGTTTTAGTCCATGGAAAGACTTAACCGCAGATGGTTTTATTTAACAAGTCATGATGATCCAGTTGAAGACGACCTGTAATGAGTACTCTTTGTACCATATTGCCACGGTGGAGACTGAGAACTTCTCTATTGTCTACATAGTGTTAACCGAAAAAGCTACCATCCTCAAACTTCCTTACTTTTTTTATCGGTTCATCTCGTTCTTGCTATTAATTCCTAGTTAGTTTCCTTGTGAACTTTAAGAGTAATTTGTTATCATATGAACTTTGATTTTGGGTTCTTTTTAACAAATCCGGTATCTTTGCAGGTATATGATCGACATTGGTTCGTCATTCACCTTCTGGACCGCAATAATTTATTTACGTAGTGGTTAGAGATTAGTCAACTATTTCTTTCTAGTATGACAAATATGCTGGTTATATTTTAAATAACTTAGCGTTAAACCACTTTTATTTAGGTGTAACTTCGTAAAGTGATTTTCTCTAAGCTTTCTTTAATTACTGCTACTGGTTGTTGAAATAACTGACTGTCAATGCGCGCTTCGATTCCCTCCGGTTCTTACTGTATTTATAAGTGGTAAAAATAAACCCTCTTGCATATCTGTTAACATCTAGTCTCTTGGTAAATTATGGTCATACGTCCGATAATTTCTACTGCTAACTGAAAATACTGTAGCTCACTGACTTTATACTTTATCTGTAAGCAAACGTGATATTTGGTTATTAAAACCATTTCTGATCATGCAAACTTTATTTCCTAACTCGATGACCGAAAATCAAACACAAGCTAGTAAGCCACAACTCAACCTCTTTTTCTGTGGGATTAGAGATGCAACTTCTGTTTGAATCAGTTTAAGAATTACTACCATTGTTCAGTGGCCTCGTGAGTATTACTAGTCGAATAAAGAAATACTTTCCAATTTTATTTCGTCCATTCATTCCGGTTCAGATATCTACTACAAAAGAAAGTTTTTGTAGTATTCCTAATCGATAGTGACTATTCTGTAAATAATTTGTGCTTAATATTAGAGGCATTCACTTTCGTATTCCAAAGAACCACCAAAGGATTCGTGATTCCGTTGGATGTAACGTTAAAGTCATTCACAATTTCCTGTTATAATTTTGGTCCTTTGCTTTGTACTTCTTTTATACCTCTAGATATCAGCTCAATTTTCTATGCTTTTTGAATATAACTAATGACTTGTTTGGGGGGAGTTGGCAGTACTCTTATTGGAGTGGGTCCTTGTTTAATTCTTTTCCTATGTACAGTCGCCAATTGTCCAATAAAAGTCATTTTACTCACAGCCAGGTATTCATTGCAATTTCATTAAGGTTATTTTTAACTATTTCCTTTTTACTCAGGCAACTCTCAATTTTCTTGTATACGTTTGCTCGTATTGCTAAAAAGTATTTTGAGAAATTTTAACATGGTATTTTAAATTTATTTCCTGCAATTTTCATCATTGATGAGCAAGACTTACAACCTTCAAGAGATTATTAAACTATTTCTGAATTTTAATTCAAAAGTTTTAATAGTGTCTCAAGTCATAGTCGATCATCTCAGACAACTAAGTACACAACGATTATATAGAATTCACTTTTAAGAAAGACTTGTCAAATTTTGTCGTGTCCAGTTCATACATAATAAACAACTGGCCCTATAATCCTTCAGTGCAGGTATTCAAAAGCCATAATGTAATATCTTAGAGTCCCTGACTTTTGGCAATTTAACGGGACACTTGAGTCTTCGCAGGTACTTCCCTCTAGGCTTATTTATCTCACTTCCGGCTCAGGAAAGTTAAGAGTTTCAACACAAACTCGTTCTTGGATAATAAAGAAAAAAACATGAGTGTAAAATCTAAACCAAAAATTAATTCCTATTTTGGCCTGTCATTCTAAACAATATGAATCATAATCTGGTTCTGCGACAGAGTGGTTTGTATTGATATACTTAGCTCATATACCTTAAATTTACTGTGTCATCCCTCCGAATTTAGACTAGTTTATTACTAGTGACAAAATACCTTAAAAATATAGGGTGTATTTTTACTGTTTTACGGACTATATGATAGCTATTGGTGTTTCTTTGTAACAGCAATAAATAATAATTCATCTATAGAGATGGTCTGCATCCTCCAGTTTATGTTGATGATTGCAATTGAATGGTCTCTTTTGACATACGTACATCCTAAGGGTATTACCTCTATATTGCCATTAATTGAGTGACTATCTGAACTCAGTAGCTAAGTGGATAACGCTTTGGGTATTTGAAGCAAATATACTAGGTCTGAATCCCAACGTTAGTATCAGCACAGGTGCAGGCATTTCAACTTGACGAGTCCCAAATACTAGGAAACGCACATTCTGGATTCTTCTTCTCGTCGCTGTTCAACTGCCTAAAGTATATATTAGTTTATAGTTATTATCTATATATAATGGTCGATAATAAAAATGCAATATTATTGCGTCATTAACAGAGGTACTAAAAGTCAATCAGTATTTACAGTTACGTAGTCACCAAAAGATTATAAAAATAAGATAATAAAGACTGTTCACTTGATGGTTATAAGGAAGACAAAAATATGGATGAACTTGTGTCAAAACAAAATAAGATATAGAAAATATCTGAAAGAGAAAAATTCTTCATATAAATGGCTACTGCAACTTTACCAATAAAAAGTGTTAACTTAATATTGAATTTAGATCCTCATCGTATTTAAAATCTAATGATACATAAAATATGAACTTAATTTTTAGTAACATGTTTATGGTCACATGAATTAGGAAATACTGCTAAATAGGGCCCAAATGTTTACGATTTGCAAGGATATGGTGGAATAAATTTACACGAAGAGTTTTTCTCTTTATCAATGACACAGTTATGGAAATGGATTTTTATTATATGTGGGCTTCCATACATATATTTCATTTTTGACTATATGTGCCTGATGCACCGATAATAATAACTTATTCTTGCTAATAGTTCCCTAAAGGAAAAACGACTTAAATCCATCAATCCATATACCATCGTTATTAAAATCTATCAGCCACTAATGTAATTCAGTGTTAATCCATTTTTGTGAATAATTGTTATATCTACTATTTTTCAATTCTTTCTTTTTTCCAACTTAATTTAGTGGATTTTTCTGGTTGGTGTCATTACTTATCACATCTGTAATGTGGTTTATAGTTACCCCACTACGAGCTTACCTTGCATTTGGGATTCTTATTGGCGTGTTAATTCAAGAGATTCTACGATTTCTATTCTTTTTATTGATTTTGTACGTCCTTTTTTGTCGTTTGTCATACTTTTTTTTACTATCAAAGCCATTAACTTTTAGTGAGTGGGGCTGTTCATCTTAAGATAATCACTTTCTATGTATATTCTGCCATGATAGTCAGAAATCAAATTACAACTGTACGAGACATTTGACACGTACTTAGCTTTAAGTAATTTTTATGCATATGTTGCGATGCTTTCAAACCGTAGCTACCGCTTTGACGTAGTGGTAGGGTGCACGAACCGCGATAAATTAGTCAGGTTAAGTTGACTGGGGAAATTATTCCTTTAGGTTCAAGGGCGAAGTTGTACTGTTAACTGTACTTGGGTGTAACGGTAGTTAGGCATTTCCTTCAAACCTCAAGTCTAATACTGCTCACTAATAGGCTGTATGAGCAGTTGTTCCTTGTGTTTTTTTGTCGTACTCCCGGGCTGTCAATAGCATCCTTAATTCAGTTGTATTCTTGAACTACCTCAAGAAAAAGTATTCATCTACGACATGAATAACTAGGAAGTACCAACCGCCATCATATCTTTAAAAACACTTGAGATCACTTTAACATTAAATGAGAGATAAAATCGTACGGATTAACTATTCACTATCAACAGAGTTATTATTCATGTACAACTGTATCATACTTAAGATGTGATTGAAGTCCAAATTGTTTAGATAAGAAAGTTGTTGATCGCCGTTAATTAATAAATAATATATATACACTGTGTAAAAGTGCTTTCTCTCATGTTTTTTTATTCACTTTTACTTTCTTTTTCATCTACAGCAAAGCTGAATCCGGCCTTCAGCTTATTGTAAGTAGTTCAACTATTCCCGTTTCAAGACCACAGCTGGTTGATGGAATTAATAACGACAACATTATTGATAATCATAGTCATGGGAGAGGAGAGGCTGAAAGAAATGAAGTTTCAAATTTAACAAGAAATAGAAAAATATCTAGTAGTAATATTATAATAACAAACGACTATGATCATAATACTTTGAACGATAATAATAGTGGCGATATTAACAATAATAATAATAATCATGCTATACAACTTGATCATCTTACAGTCGCTTATGTCTCTGGATTAGGATATGGTTTGATGAGTTGTATTATACAATCGTTACGTATACTTATTGATTCCTATGGCCCTGGAATAACTATATATTCAACATGGAATTCGAAAACATTCTTTTTGTTTTCGTGTAAGAGTATTATTATTATTACATTGTTTTGTTGTGTATTCGTATTTTGTAGGGCTACTTGAATTGTATTATAATGTGATTCATTTACCAAGTACCGTAATTAGCTGTGAATTACATTTTTGCTGTGTGTTAATACCGACGGGCAATCAAAACTTGGTAATCTAGAATAATTGTGTGCCACTCCACCATCTTACCATCCAAACATAGTCATACATAGCACCTCCAAAGACGTCCTGGCATTTTTAACTCAAATTAATATATTATGCAAGTTGTAGGAGTGTGGTTCACTAGTCAGTCTCCGACTTTCAACACTTATGTCGTAAGCTTTTGGTCTTACCTTTGCCTGCCGAGGTCTTGGAAACTAAATACTATCACTAAGCGTTATCAAATAAATGTGTTACAGAGTCTTTTAGTCTATGGATTTGTACTTAATTAATGATATATACACTGTAACTCAATCTACCCTTTGTTAATTCTCTCGTTACTGTATCATTACTCAATAATCTGGGGTGCATTTATCTAAAATGCCTTCACGTTTTCTAATGATATTCTAGTTGACACATTAACGTAGATTGACGGACTACATTCATTAATTTTTTATTTGTTAGCCTATTTTTTAATTGTTACTATTATACAGAATGAATTTGATCACACTCTCTACTAGATGCTAGTGATATTAACGTAGTCTATAAACCAAAGTAGATAAAGCATTGTTCGAACATGAAACAAAGTATTTAAAATTATAATGCGTTAACCACTTAGTCACCGCTTGATAAGACTGAGGTCATCTAAAAAAAAGCACAGACCCACTTAATTTATTAGTCTGTAAAGTGCTAAGAAATAAAATATTGACTTGATGCGATTTCATGTATGTTATGCATTATATTATAGTAAGCAATGTGTTTTATCAATAATAAATGTCTCAAGACGATAAAAATTGATTTACTCACTAGGTGTTCAAATAGGTTGTCTATTTGTCAGGTCTCTGACTGCATGCTCCAAATTTAAATAAACTAATCTCTAAACCATAGAGGTTCAGAAAGTCAATAGATCCATAATATCAGGAGTTTTGTGGATATTATAGTAATTTCACTAGTTGAGATCATTAGTCAATTGATGACGGGCTGCTGCATCAAAATAAACTAATGTAGAGTGCAATATCACTTGATAGTGACCAAAGGGATACAACAGACGGTAGTGGAAGCAGATTTTCTTAGGGAAATAGGGGTTTTTGGTTGACACAAGGAGGTAATCACCAATCATGGACAGTCAATATACGAAAGGAATGGGATAGGATAAGTACAAGCAGCAACCATAAGTGAAAACGATGTGACCAATCATACTTCCGAAACCGCAAAATGCGCCGTGATTATTTCCTTCCGGAGTTCTTCCACTGATATTACCCATTGCAGTGGCTTATGATCAGTCTCAACGCTGAATCGTTGATCGAGTATATACGGTCTTCATCTGTTTACCGCCCAAACGATAGCTCTGCTAAGCGAACCAGTAACTTAATGCGTTTACTTCAGTCATTAATTAATTATATGTAACCTATATATTACACTTTTACCCATATATATTACTCAGCTAATTAAAATCACTTTATTTTTTTGTTAGCGTGTCAGTGTATGTGTATATCAATGCTTCAAGTGTTTTGGTCTCTTATTCTGTTTTCTGCGTTTGTACAACGTGCATATGGTCAAATTATCCTTGTATACTTTATGCATTTTGGACTAGCTGGCATGGTTGGTGAAATTTTTCTTATTGCATTTATGATACATTTTCTATGATAAGTAATATTTACGTAGTTTTGTTTAGAGCACATCCTTAAAATAAAAGATATGTTACATTGATCTAATGTCTATAAAAATCAAACTGTTGGATTCTTGGCAAATTTATTTCTCAATAATATACAAGTAACAAATGATTCTATATTAAATAATAATTGTGCTAGGTTAAAAGTAATCACAATCAAGGTGATAAACTCATTAGTAACAAGAAACAACAGTGACCCATTCCTAACTTAAAACACTTCACCATATACAACGACAATGTTGTGAATACGTGGTGGGGATTTTCAAAAAAATTGAACTTCCTAAACCTACTTATAAAATAATAACTGTGTGACTTGTTTGTTAAGACTATAGTTAAAGGACACGATCTATGAAATCAACCAAACAATCGATCACATTGTAGGCGAATGCTAAATAACTGAAGTTGGTTATGTTGACCAATGTATTCTAACACAATAAAAGAACGTATCATGGTTACCACGAGACATAATGAAGATAATACACTGACTTAGAAATTCCGACAAAACAATTGTTTAGTGTACTTTATATATCTTAATAGGTCTTGATGAAAATTATTCTAAAATTAATTAATCCACTTCAAATAACCTACATTGTATTTGTATTTCTTATGATTTTATAGTCGTTAATCAATACCTATTCATCACCTTGCTCAGAAATTGTATGTGCAATATACATGATTTGTCTCATAGGAATGATCATATTCACCTATTGTCGATTTCATTCACAATTAATCACTAATCATAAAAGAAATAATGCTGTCAATTTTATTAATCAACAGTAATGGAGATTTTTTATACAAGCACCAAACTTCTTTTTGTAGTTTAAAATCCAGTATCCGGTACAATTAAAAACGGAGATCTACCTTTTTTTAAAGAAAATAATGGTAACATGAAGAATTTTTATTTTGTGCATCTCTTTTTGTAACTATATATATATATATGAGTTATGTAACACTATGTTTATAACTGTAAACATTATTAATATCAAGTAATAAAGTAAACTTTTACTCTTCTATTTGTATTTCCATGACCCTGAAATTGAGTGAATCGATTTTAAGCAAACAAGTTAGAGACGTCATTGTTAATTATAATCTTGGACATAAAAGGTACTAAATTTAAAAGACGGAAAGAATCACTATCATACTGATATAACAGAAGAACTATATATGATTAGTGATTGAACTACATCTAATATGCATGCTGATTTAGTCAAGCAGTTATCGAATAAATAATGTGTTTTTAAAATTTGCTACTGTTACTTTTTGTGTCTAGATCTCATAACAACCAATAGATAAAATCGATACATTGCCAAAATTCTCCATTTTTTGTTTAATTAAAGCAGTATTGTTGTTCTGTTAAGCAGAGCTCTTATCCAATACCATAAATATTAATAAACAAAGGTTGGTGACTGTGATTGGCGGTGTAAATTACTGGACAATTAGAGGATTCAAGATTACACCGAAAGAATTAGGTGGTAACAATGAAATATGCTGCCGTAAGATGATAATTTGAAAATGTCGGACACTAAAACCTGACGATAATCACAACAAGTATAAAAGTTTACTGTACTTAATATTTACCATGGAATTCTGCACATTTCAAACTATTTGAAGACGTTTTACCAGTATTTAAGTAAACATTATAAAAAAAGAAATAATGGATTTACAGATAATTCACAGTAAAGTTATAAAATCAACATTTCGAAACAAATCTATCCCAACTTTAAACTGTCACTGTTTTCGGTATTTTTCTGTGAATGTACTAGATTGACAAGATCTTCACTGAATGGTAGGAATTCGGCACGACACAGTGGACACGGTACCTACAGGAATGGAAAAATAGGTAGCTATTATTTTATTATTCAGTTGACTGCATTTTTGAGGAAACCTACTTCCGAATAAGACACGGATTCATATCCCAAATAACTGGTCAATTATTATTTACATTGCAAGTGTGCTTACTTCTTGTTGAGATGTTGAATGAACAAGAGATAGATATATCGTATATCGATCTACTTAGTCTCTGTTAGTTATTTATTATCACTTAACTGAAGCTGGGGAACTAATAACGTTCATCCAGTATGCGATCAAGAAATTGGAATGATTTAACAGATTACAAGAAAGGCATGATGAAAAAAAGTCTTTTTGCAAGTGTATTTGTTAATTCTGAGTTTATTTATTTAATTAAATTTAGAAGGGGATTTGTGGAGATTTCAGTATTTTTCAAAGTTGAAATCATTTAATTAAACACAAATATTGGAACAAAGGGGTACCAGATACATATGCGCCGCAAAAATCTCATTTGATTTGTATGAGGGCTGTGATAGTGCCCAAACTGAAACGGGTGGTTTTCTTACGGGGCCAAACCCAGAGCCTTTGACCTAAAGATCTGATTCATAAGGCAGTGGAACAACGTTAGGAGATGCAGTCCCATGGTAGCCAGTGACCAACGATTGGTTCATACGCCATTTTTCCTCAGGATACTGGAGCCAGCCTATGTGCACCATTGGTTTGGAATGAGGGTTTTCCAATTCCCCTAGGTGGACTCACAGTGTCCACCAACCCAGTTAAAGCGCCGGACATTCGCTTTTCGTCCTCTCAATTTCGTAAACAACACTTCCGCCACGAGAAGGCAGTGATTAGGACCTCCATGACAGAATCTATATACGCGTGGCCATGTGAGAGCATTTGGAGAGGGAAAGCGTACTCTCCCCACTCTCGGCTGTACCAGGGCATTTGTGTAGCTAACTCCCTAATTATGTGAGTTAACGTCCTAAGATATAGCAATGAATTAACAGTGTGTTTGTAATATCCCTAACTGCTCATTCAATTTGGACTATTTTTCAAAAAAATCATAATTAATCCCTTCAAATCCTACTCAGTTAACAAATAAATCAGCTGTAATCTTTTACATTACAAATATTTTATCTTTTACAACAAGTTACATACACAAGTATGTCTTACACAAAATCATCTTGATCTGGACGACATAATGCGGTCATACTTGTTTCTACTTTACTAGATATTCTGCTTTGTTTCACTGCACAATTTGTGGTAGGGCAACTCGAACTGATGTACGTACGTACGGAGTTCTAAGTTGTTACTGACTGACTGATCGATACTAATAGACTGTGGTAACTTTTGTGAGGGTTCTAGAAATGTTATATTTGTCACATTTGTTTGTAAGAAATCTGAAAAGGCACAAGATCTGTTAGGAAAAAATCAATTTGAAGATATAACGAGCAACTACTATCTCTATTTGACCCCGATAGGAACGTCATGTTTTAAAGATGATGCGTGTACACTCAATCTGTAGAAAACAAAAGTATCCCTCGAGAAATACCAGTGAATTCAAATGTTGAATTTTAACTTGATCATCTAAACTAATACTGAAATTTTATCAGTTAATTAGCGACAAAAATAATAGGTTACTTATTCTATTAATTGTACTATGATTTATTTATCTGTTTAAACACATAAATATTGGTACAAGGGGCACCTGATACACATGCTAATCTCATTTAACTTGTGTCAGGGCTGTGATACTGCCCGGGTGCCCAAACCAAAGCAGGTACTATGGGAGAAGAGTCAAATTATACAGATATCACTGTAGAATTTAGACTTATTGAATGAGAAACAAATTACTGTTCACAAATCAAGATGTGGTTTGTGTACTAATTAATTTTTACTTTGTCAACTCAATTCATCAAACGAGCATACATTTACACACTTGGCTACTCATACTGAAGCTGGAGAAGAGTTCAAACAGATGAATAAAAATACATTTAATTCCTGAAGAAAAGAGCTTGCTTGTAGCTTGGTACATAACTGCTATCGAAAGCAAACGGTGTACTTAGGTAGTAATCTCAAAGCCGAAATTGATTAAGTAAATTAACCATAAACAAAACATTTTACAATAAAGAGTGTACACTTACTTCAAGTGGTGGAAATTCAGTGTATGGGCACCTGGTTTTTAATTCGTTTATTTCCTCTTCATATTCTACTCTTCTGCGATTCATATACTCACCAATACAGTATGTATGGAAATAATGAAAATTTGTTGTACAGTAGACATCACTTTCATTTCGGAAGTAATTCAAGCATATTGCACACTCAACAGTTGGGATGTTGGGTGAAATAAATTCACGACAAAACTATATGTAAAAGAATTAGAGGCATATTTTATACAATATGATAAAATGAAACAATAAATTGTTTACAGCACACAGGTACAGTTACTTTAAAACCTTTGAATTATCTAAATGATCTTCCAACAGTTACCATATGATGCCATTTTCACGTCAAAATGGTGGGAGTTAAGTTTTAAACAAGGTCACTACGCGAAGGGATATAATATGTCATTTTTTATTGGTTTCAGCTTGAGTAATGGTAGTACGAAGCACCTGACCTAGGTTTTTGGCAATTTTGGTATCCATCAGCAGAATATATTCAATATCATTTAAAAGACTCAGAAGTCTGAAATCGTGTAAGTGAATATATCAGCTTTACACAATAGCATATGGTACATATATCTAGTTTATAATTCTGAAAACCAAGTTTATTTAAACAAAACTTCATGGATGTAACATAATGTAATATTCCCAATTAACAATAAACTTACGTACATCCACGACATCAAAAATGACTGGATCGCCGTTTCGTTCCAAAGTTAAATCTTTTAGAAGGGATAATAATTTTGCAATATCCTTTTCTTTCAGACCATGGACAGATTCCACAGAGATTGTAGGTGACTCTCTTGGATACTGTAAATAGTGATATTTAATTTACGAATCAAAAGATATATAAAAAACTGTAATTATAAACAAACCTTTGAAGTAAACTTCAAGTTTAGGTTAAATTTTATAAACTTGTTTGCGGGATTATTAAACCCCACTCCAGGAGTTACTAAAAAAGTAACTGTACATTGATTTGAACTAAATAAGATTATCAAAGTATAGTTAGACAAAATGACCTACTCAAAGTCAACTTTGAATTCACCGGGAAACATTTCATGTAATAACTGCAATTCATCCTGAATTCTTTAAAAAAATTGTTAATGTACACGGCAAACAAACTTACATATTGTCCATGCATCGGTAAAACTTATTCACCCGAAATTGTTTGATGGAGGAAAACGTCTATAAGGGGAATAAAATTACATGAAAAATACCCAAAAGACAATAAAATAATGTTAGAAGTATGGGTTACCTGTCTAAAATCATTAAATTCATTTCTTAACACTGAGCGTCGTTTAAACAAGCGACCGAAGAACGGGAAGTAAATGGGACAATTCAAAAGAAAATAAAGGGTAAAATGCACCGAGAAGTCTCCGTTTTCATTCACTATGGGGAAACAGTACGAAACTTACTCGTTTTGACACCTTGTGTCCGAAATGTCGCCTTTATTTCCATTGCGAAACAAATGTTTGGACACAAGTCGAGCACGTTCTTATCACATGCACTTAATTATTCTCAACGTAGTACATCTGAGAAAGTAAATTTATGTCAAGAAAAACCTCTATTACAAAACTAGGCTTAACAGAAGGATGCATTTGGGAAGAGAGTACATGCCCGTTGTAAATTTTCTCACTATTTCCCCACAGTGAATGAAAACGAAGACTTTTTGGTGAGCTTGTCTTTTTGATTTCTCTTTGACCGCATTTCTTTATCCTTTTTCAATAGGATATCCTAAGTATATACTTAAAAGTTCTATAGGATTTTGATAACACATTTCTAAATGAAATGATAAAAACTGACTGTTCAAATGGTTGAGGACGGAATAGAAGAAGCTTTCGCTTAACGGGCTTCCGTGTCTGATAGCAGTGGATCACCAATACCTCCAGGTAAGAACCTAGGTATATGAACGATAATAGAGGAAAAAAAGAATTTGGTAAATCATAATAATATGTTATCCTTAGTCCTTAAGAATAAGTCAAGTTTCCTCTTAAAGGACTCCTGGGAGGTCGCTTGGACTAGCTCAGTCGGCAGCGAATTCCAGCACTTGACAACTCTAACGGAGTAGAAGTTGTGTCTACAGTCTGTTCTGCTATGTAGAGTCTCCAATTTCTGGGTGTTACCTCTGAGGTTAGTGTTATGACTAAGCTTAAGAAGTTGTTTAAGGGGATGACCAGAAGTACTAAGGATACTATAAGTCATAAGAAGGTCACCTCTAAGACGCCTGTACTCTAACGGGTAAAGGTTAAGTGATTTGAGGCGCTCTTCATAAGGTTTGAATTTGAGTCCCCGAACTGATTTCGTGGTTCGATGTTGTATACGTTCCAGAGTGTCCTTATCCTTTTGGAGGGAGGGAGGAAATACTATGTTTCCGTACTCTAAATGGGGACGAATAAAACTGTTGAAGATTATATGGAAGGTTCTACCATCAAACTGGCCAAAAATGCGCTTCAATGTTACCAGTGCAAGGTTTGCTTGAAAGGCGTTTTTGTCACAGTTCGCATACGATTTCAGGTCGTAGGGTACCAACACTCCTAAATCTTTTTCAACTTGGGGAACTTCTAGAGGGGAGTTACCTAAGTTATAACTATAGTCTGCAACATGTCTCAGATGGACTACCTTGCACTTTGAAGTGTTGAAGGTAAGTCCGTTGTCGTCTGCCCAACTTTGAAGGCGGGTCAGATCCTCCTGCAGAACTAGTATATCATTGTGAGTACGTATCTCTCTCCAAAGTTTCACATCATCAGCAAAAAGCAATAAATCAGATGAAACTTGTTGAGGAAGATCGTTAATATAAATCAAGAAGAGAAGAGGTCCTAGTATTGAACCCTGGGGGACCCCACTAGGACATTCCATAGCCTGAGAGAGAGTGAAGTTAACCCTGACCTTAAAATGTCGGTTTTCTAGGTATGAAGTGATCCAGTCAATTAAAGGGGGTTTTATACCCAATCGTCCAAGCTTCTTGATAAGACATGCATGGTTGACCCTATCAAAAGCTTTTGAGAAGTCCAGGTAAATGATGTCAACCTTCCCCTTGCGATCAAGGATGGTTGTCCATTTATCCACCGCAGTCAGCAGGTTGGTCGTACAAGAATGACCTTTTCTGAAACCATGCTGTTGAGGCGAGAAGAACTTTGAGGATGATAAGTGTTCTAGTATGCCGTCGAATACTAGGGATTCCATAATTTTTGGAGGTATGGAGAGAAGGGCCACTGGTCGGTAACTTGAGGGTTCACTGCGTCGACCTCCTTTGAAAATTGGTGTGATGTGGGCCAACTTCCATATTTCCGGTAGTTTGCCTCTGCTTAGCGAGTGTGCAAACATCACGCTAAGTGGTGTCGCCAGGATTGAAGCTGCTTCCCTCAATACGGCGGAATGAACCATGTCCGGACCAGGAGAAGTGTCTTTTTTTAGGTTCTGCAGTTTACGGAGCACCAAGTCAGCACTCAGGTCCACTTCGGAAAGTCCTGAACAGGTGCAGGTGAAGCTTTCGTCAGTACGGTTGATGTGGGTCAGTTGAAATGTCCGGGAGTAATGTTCAGCCAAAAGGTTAGCGGCATCACTGTCGTTGTTGGTCGGGCCATTAGGACCAAGCAGTTGGGAAACTCCAGTTTTGCCTTGTCGAAGAGAAGCTGCATAACTGAACAAGCTTTTCGGATTGGAGACGAATCTATCGATAAGCCTGGTCTGGAACTGAAGCCTGTCTTCTCTTATTGCCTTTGTGCATGTGTTCCTTATATGTTTGTATTGCCTGTACGCGCCGTTGTTATCCGTTCGTTTATATTCAGCCCAACAGTGCCTTTTGCGGCTTAGCAAACGACGAGTGCGGTTCTTGATGATTGGAGGTTGCTTGTAGCTTTTTGGGACCATTTTAGGAACTGAATGCTCAGTAGCACATAAGATCGTGTGTAGTAAAAAATCCCAATGAGCATCCACTTCAATTTGATGGTGAACATCCCAATCCACCTGTTGTAGATAGTCCTGTAAAGCTAACACATTCAACCGTTTGAAGTTCCAGCGCCTGTTGCTAGTAGGACATCGTAGCTCCGTTTTGCTGACAAAGTTGAATGATAAGACGGCGTGATCACTTTTCCCCAGGGGAGCCAGGATTGAGAGGTCGTCAATTAGGAATTCTTCATTTGTGAATACCCAGTCTAAGCGTGACGGCGTCTGACTGTCTCTCCAACGGGTTGCCGACTTCACATTTTCAAATAATCCCAGGTCGCCGATAAGGTTGAAGAACAGAGCTTCAGTAGAGTTGGCACCACCAATGTATGTATGTTCCACGAAGTTGATTCTAGGGAGATTGAAATCCCCTAGAATCAAGATGAGAGAATCCGAGACGCGTAGAGCGAGTTAATCCTTCCAGCAGGCGTTTGTCATATTCGATGTCGGCAGTGGGCTTCCTGTAAACGACCCCAACTAGGCACCTCGAGGTGGTAGATAATCTTACTGAGCACCATACTGACTCGTCAAGATTATAAAACTCTTGGTTGTGAAGTTGGTGCGCATCCAGGCATGACCGTATGTATAGTGCTACCCCACCCCCCATCCCTGTTTTTCTGTCGTTGCGAAATAAAGACATCCCAGTTATTGCTAACTCTTGGTCCGTAAACTGAGACGTTATCCAAGTTTCGGATATTCCTATCAGATGGGCATCATTAGCGTTGCTAAGTTCATGTAGCTCATCCATTTTGTTTGGCAAGCTCGCGGCGTTCGTGTATAGGCAGTTTATGCTTTCAATTTGGAACGCGTGAGCCTCTTCTTGTTTGTCTATATGAGTCGTGTGTGAGTGGACAAGTAGCCTACCTATACGATGTTTACCGAGTTGGTAGTCCCTGTCCTTTACACGTTTTTTTTATGATCAAGACAGTCCACGAGTGGAATTGTCAGCTCCAGCTTTCGTTTGTGCTTGATCCTGCTGTCGTGGGGCCTATCCGGATGCATATGGATGCCAGTTGGCAACCGACGTCTATTGGCACGAAATGCTTCCAGAGATGCAGCCGCCATGTGGGAGGAGGGGAAGGTTATCTTCAGCAGCCGGGGCCTAGAGTCTCCTTCTCTCTTGGCCAGTCGCATTACCTGTTGGGTCAATATGTTCCTGAGTTTTAAGGAATGCTTGATGAATTTCCATTCCCGAATATCAGAGTTTGCTTGAGTTGGGTCCATATTTTCCGGTACACCTTGCACAATGATATTTCGTCCACGGAAAAACGACTCGCGAGATTCCTTAGGGATGTTCCGGATGAGATTTCGTTCAGAATACGGTATGTCGGGCAGTATTCTTACGTTCCCATCGGACTTCAGAAAGTGACTGGCTAGCAGGACGTCCTCTACGTCGGAGGCATTCTTAAGTGTAACACGAAGCAGCCTCGGGTGGTTTAGGTGGTTAGAGTCCTTCCCCCGAGTGAGTCGTGTGACGGTCAAAGGCTCTATTCTAGGGAGTTCAAGCCTCTTGTTTAATTCTCCCCAGAGCATCCTATCGTTTTTGTCCTGCAAACTGAGAGGAAGGTCGGGGTTGTCAATAAGGTTCATGATTATGACAGAGTCGTCACGAACCGCAATTGATTTCCCAGGTTTTCCAGGGCGTCTAGGTTTGGTATCTTGTTGTTTGGATGTCGAGGCGCGTTTTCGATTCCTGGGCTCAGTGATGACCGGGCGGACAGTCTTGGGTGTAGACTGTGCGGCCAAAGCATCAATTGATTTCCGCACGATACTTGGAACGTTCAGTTTCGGCGGGGACGCTTGGGCTTTATTACTCCTGTTAACGTGAGTCCATCCACCTACAGGATTTTTGGGAACCACCGTCTCATTCAAGGACTGTTCCCTGGGGGACCCAAGTTTACTGAGGGAGTCGATGTTAAGATGGTGCTGAGTTTCAGCACATCATCACTCGTGCTGTTAACAGCACCGTCGATAACCGACCTGTCAGTATCCTTTTTCTTATTTGCCCTATGCGTTCTAGCTTTGTTACCCCTCATGATGCTATCATTTACCGAATTCTTAGACAACTTATCTCTCAGACCTGTCAGTAAAGTAATGATAGTACCCAACATAACTACCGTATCGGTGTTGCAGGTAACACATACCCACCTACGATCAGACTTGCTGAGTCTGCTATAGGCTGCTGCTGTTAGATCTGTACATGCCTCATGGAACCAACCTTTACAGTTGTCACATTGCAT